GGTCGAGCGGTGGCATGTGCCCGCTCGGTCTCCATCTGCTGCGGTGGGGTGGCAGTGAGATGCGGTCCCAGCCGAGCGGCCGGCCACCCCGGCAGAGGAGCGAAGCCTCCTTCCACCCTCAGCGGTAATTTAGGGCGGTTTCCACTGCCGCTCGCAGGAAGCCACGTGCAGGCAGCGCCGGTGACGTTGCCAGCATCAGCATGGTGAGATGGCCCGGCAGCTCATCCGGTAGGGCGATGGAGGTGCCGCTGCCCGGAGGCACCGGGACCCGGGCTGGGGGCACCGTGGGGGGGGGGGAGGTCTTGTGTCCCATGCGCCCGGACGATGCTAACGTCGCGGGGAACGTCCATGGGGGAACCATCCTGAAGATGATCGAGGAGGCGGGAGCCATCATCAGCACCCGCCACTGCAACTCCCAGGCCGGGGTGAGTAGGTGCTGGAGTGCCTGCCGGGCTGGGGGGTCTTCTGGGAGCAGGGGGTCCCCCAGGACTGCCGGGCGTCCCTGTGGGCCTCCCCGCTCGTCCCTCTGCAGCGGAAGTGCTTGCTCCTGCGTGCAAACCACCGATGGCTCTGGCTGCTGTTAGAAGCATCCTGCTCGAATTGTGTTTTATGAGCAGAAATGTTATTACGCTGCTGTTAATGTTTAACTCCTGCTAAGGGCGAGTCAGAGGCAACCCCGCTGTTCGTTATGGGTGGGGAAGGAAGCGCAGCCGCCGGCTGATAAGGCAGACGTTGAAGTGCCGGAGCTGCGCACGGCAATGGGCCAGCCCCGCGGAGCCACGGGCTGTGGTCCTGCGCGGCGTGGCTGAGGCCGCTATCCTCGCTGTCTCGCCACCCCCAGGAGCCCTGCGTGGCCGCGCTGGCGCGGGTGGAGCGGACAGACTTCCTCTCCCCGGTGTGCATCGGCGAGGTGGCCAACGTCAGCGCCGAGATCACCTACACCTCCCGGCACTCTGTGGAGGTCCAGGTCAACGTCATGTCTGAAAACATTTTAACAGGTGGGTGGCTGCTGGGGGGCTCTGTCCCAAAACTCCAGGAATAACCGTGATAAGCCGAGCTTCTGGCGGTGACCCTGTTCTCCGCCCACCATCGCCAGCAGCATTGGGCAGAGATCTTACCTTTTTATTGAGAGTGCTGGGGGCAGCGGGGAGGGCCGGCGCTGGGAAGGGAAGCCAAGCAGACTCCCTGGGGATTACGGCTCCATTGATCGTTTTTAGCAAGGAACAGAAAAATCTGCTGTTTGCTCCTCCTGCCTAATTTACTGCCCGTGGCTGCCTTTGGCCTGAAAAAGGCCCTTTTCCTGTTGTTGCTGTGGCAACCAGCTCCGCTTGCTGGGACGCCTTCGCAAAAGCGCGTTGTCACATCCGCTCCGAGCCAAAGCCGGGCAGGAGCTGGCCGGGCAGGGGGCTGCCCGGTGCTGGCAGCATCTCCAGCGTGCGACCAACCATGGACCGCAGCAGCGCCGGTGGGAGGCGAAGCCCTGCTGGCATCGGTGCGGTCACCCTCTGCACCCCTCTTCCCCAGGGGCGAAGAAGGTGACGAACAAGGCAACGCTGTGGTATGTGCCACTGTCCCTGAAGAATGTGAACAAGGTCCTTGAGGTTCCCCCTATTCAGGTAGGAGAGCTCGCTTTGCTCCCCGAAAACCAGAACTCACCTTCTCCAGGGGGACGGCGCTAACCTGGCCCCGTCGGTACCCCCAGCTGTGCCGGCGGCTTTGCCAACCCCATTCTCACCGGCCTTTCCTTCCAGTATGCGAGAAAGGAGCAGGAGGAAGAGGGGAAGAAGCGTTATGAGGAACAAAAGCTGGATCGACTGGAAACTAAGCAGAGAAATGGCGACGTGATCTTCCCTGTCATCAACCCAGGTAACGCGGGCGGTACGTGGCCTGTGGAAATGTCCTGGTGGTGCTGGGAAACTGAACTGGTCCCTGGGCACCCGTGGCTGTGAGCGCATGCTCTGAAACACTACGTTGGGGATGGGGACGGGATTTTGTAGCTGCGGTGCATGAGCAGAGGGGGAGCCGGGTGGGCACCTGTGATCCCTGCTGGGGCTGGTGGGTGGGATGCCCTCTTCCAAAACACGGCTCCTTGCATCCCCGTGTGCTCCTGAGCTAGTTTTGCTCAGCATAGGGTAAAACAAGCGTTGGGCAAGGGTTTTGCACACTCTGCAGCTACAGCCCCTCTCTAGCAATCGGTTTTTAGCAAGAAGTTCATCGACTGGTGTTTGAAGGGGAGGATGAGCTACTGGGAGGAGCTGGGCATCATGCTCTCCCTGGGGGATTGCCAGGGATCTCTTTCCTACCAAAAGCATTGCCCTGGCTTCTGGAAACACGGTGGCAGGGCTGACAGCGAGCCGAAGGCGTGAGGGGCCAGTGGCCTCCGGGACCAGCTGTGGTCCTCGGGCAGAGGCAGAGAGGTGGCACGTGGGGATCGTTGCGGGGGGTGATGTGGGATGAAAGTTGCTCAAATGCTTTTTTCCCCTCTGTTCTCCCTGCTCACAGATAGGCAGACAAAAGGTAAGGCTCTGCGGGCGCCGCCATGCGGGTGTCCTCCCCGAGGGCTCGGCTGGGGGCTTGGCTGGTTTTTCCTGTACTAAGCACCTTTAGCATCTCTCATTAGATGGAAAACGCAGCCGTCCTCGAGAGTGGTTTTCCTCTGCTGGCAGTCAGAGCGTGCGATTTCTGTCACCTGAATTTAGTGGCGAGTCAGATGTCACCAGCATGTGCCAGGGCTCGGGGACATGGGGGCTGAGGTCTTCACGCGGGGGGAAAAGCGTGGTCCTTTGGAGACGCTGCTAAGTGGCAGGTTTGGGGAGATTTGGCTGCAGCTGGTGGCCCAAGGAGGGAAGGTGTATAGCCGCACGCCCATCCAGTTCACTCCCGCTTGCTTTCAGGCTCTTTGAAAGCTTTAAAAGCACTGAGCTGAGCTGGAGTAAAATTAACGGTGGGCGTTAGAGGGAGGTGGCAGCCTGTCAGGTGGTGAATGGCCTCTGCTCTCAGGACTTCTCGGAGACTATTTAAATGCTGGTTTGAACATACTTCAGCTTTGCACAAGCCAGTCCTCCTTCAGATGGCTTAAGACAGGGGCACAGGGCAGCGTATGGGTGCTGGCCGAGCAGCTCTGACCTCCGCTTTGCTCTTTCTCTAACCAGAGCCACACACCGTTGGCTACAGCCAGTCCAGCTTGATCCACCTGGTGGGACCGTCGGACTGCACGCTGCTGGGCTTTGTGCATGGAGGTGAGTGAGCGCTGCCCTGTTCAACGGCTGCGTTGGTTTTACCTCGGAGCAGAGGTGTGGTCTGAGAGCAACCTGGGCGACTCGGTGTTCTCGGGAGGCAGGCTCTGCCTCTGAAGGAGCGCAGGCACATTTCCAGTTTCTAAGGTCCAGTGTTGCTTCAGCTGAGACAGAAGCTTCAGCTGGGAGAAAAAGCTTTTCCCAAATCCTGCTGGCTTTCCTGAGACAGGACCTTCTGCCTCCGCCCCCCAGGTGTCACCATGAAGCTCATGGACGAAGTCGCCGGGATCGTGGCTGCCCGCCACTGCAAGACCAACATTGTCACTGCCTCGGTGGACGCCATCAACTTCCACGAGAAGATCAAAAAAGGTACCAAGGGGTGGTGGTGTGCACTTTGCTCTCCCACTGTGCCTCACTCCCTTGGGTGCTTGCTCGGAACACACTAGCAGAGAAATTTAGTCCCCGTTAGACGTGTCCGGTGCCTAGAAGCTCTGCTTAAGACCTGGCTTAAGCAAAAAGCATGCAGGACCCCTTGCTGCCTTCCTCTGAGCAGAAGCAGGGGCCACCTGCTTAAACTGGCCCCTCTCTGCTTCACAGGGAGCGTCATCACCATTTCGGGGCGCATGACCTTCACGAGCAATAAGTCCATGGAAATCGAAGTCTTTGTGGATGCCGACCCATTCGTGGACGAGCCTCGGGAGCGGTACCGTGCTGTCAGCGCCTTCTTCACCTACGTCTCCCTGAGCAAGGAGGGGAAGCCCCTGCCTGTCCCGCAGCTGCTGGTAAGAGCTCTCCCCGCCGGGCTGCGAGCGAGCTGGGCCAGCCTCTCTCCTGTTCCTCCCAGGGCAGAGCCCTTTTGGGGATTGCCAAAGGGTTGGCCCTTTTTTGGCCAGCCAATCCTGTTGCCTTGAATCATTCAGCAGAAAAATATGAACGAGCCTTTCCAGAGCAGGCTTCAGGGTTTGTTTTGGTTTGTTTTTAAATTTCTTCTCAAAATCGCCTATGTGGAGATTGGGATTTTTTTTCCCCTTTCTCATGGATGAAGGCAGGCTGCGTGCTAGCTCTGCAGCCTCCCCTCCTGCCTGCGCTGGAGATGCGTGGGAGGGTACCCTGAGTGGCGACGGAGGCCCCTGTGTCCCCTGTCCCTGCTCCTTGTGGTGTCCCCCCCCCAGCCCTCCTGCATCTTTTTAGCTCTCCCGATCCCAGCAGGGCTTTGCTGATGCAGCGCTGCTGCCTGGGGGCTGTTTCTTGATTAATATTTTATGCTGCACAGGTGGTCTCCTGCTCTGTGCAGGAGTACATTAGCTGTCAAAACACAGGTTTCACGGAGCGCAGGTTTTCCTTTTCATTTCCGACACGGAGAGGCGTGTTTCCCTCCTGCACGTGCTTGCAAGGTGCAGCGTGGGGAGAGCTCGCCGCCCCGAGGCAGCTAACGCCGGCGGCTTCGCTTTCTTTCTGTCGCTGGCAGACGGAGACGGAGGATGAGAAGCGGCGCTTCGAGGAAGGGAAGGGCAGGTACCTCCAGACAAAAGCCAAGCGGCAGGCGCAGATGCAGCAGGCTGCCCAGCAGTGATCCCGCCCCGCGCTCTCGCAGCCT